TTAGGGGTTTTGTCCAGAATATTTCAGTTTGGGGCCAAAAAAAACCTTTTTTAAAAAAAAAAATCTGATATTCGGGGGGGGGGGGGGGGGTTTTTTAAAAAAAATAAAAATTTTCCAAGGCGCACAGATATTTTTCTTTGAAACATTTTGTTTAGTCAGAAATCCAGTTTTCTGTCAAAATCTGTTTTTGACAGAAAATTTTCAGCCAGCCCTAATAATGTGATTTATATATAATGTGGGCAGTGTAAGATTTATGATTTCTTTAACTATCCCTTGCCTTGCTTTAAATAGCCCGAGTTTTGTAGACGATGTGTAAGTACAGGATGTTACTTAGCAACCTTCACCAGTTTTTAAAATAAAGGTTCTTTGTCTCTGGAATCTCCCTAAGATATTAGATAGGCATCTATCACCTTGATATCTAAATGCCAAGCAAATGTATGCAAAAAAAAAAAATCAAAATTCCTGAGAGATGTTTGGAAGTTCCTTCTGCCTCTCCCTGGTTTCAGATGTGTTTGGTTTGTAGGAGGTCAATTGGGTTATTGAAAAAGCAGACTTGCTTTATCTTTCGATCTGCATTTACACTGCTATGAACATGACCTAAGCACCTGGAAGTTTTCATTACTGGTCTCTAAATGGTTCTTGGGTGACCATAGTTGACCATTACTGCAGCACTGAACGTTTTGCGTATCTTGGTCAAAGCATATCTCAGGACTGGAAGATGCTCTGCATAGTGGCTGTTTGGTGTAAACATCCCTGCAGAGTTGTTTGTGTAGGGGGTGTTTGTCCATCTTATCCCATTTCTGTTCAAACGCTACTTGTTTGGCCTAGGAAAGCAATGGGACCTGACATACTGCGTCTCTCTTTTTCCATCTTCAATATCTGGTTATGTGGAGCCTGATCCAAGGCCCACTGAAGCCATTGGGTGTCTTCACATTGATTTCATTGAGCTGTGGGTCTCGCCCATACGGCACAGACTAGGTCTATCTCCTGAAAAGATACAGGATCAGATTCTTAAATGAGATCCCTCGGGCAGTGCAAAAGAGACAGAATCTAGCTGTGAAGGGGCAG